CCCCCCCCCCCCCCAATGTGGGGCGGCTTGCAGAATTAAAAATATTTTAAAATTATTATTATTCCATATTATTATTTAATTCAGCTTGCAGAGTTAAAAATATTAAAAAGTCATTTAAGTCCTGAGAAACTCAGAACAGGACTTTTTTGTCTTAATCTGCCTGAATTTCACTGGGCCAAGTGGCAAAGTTGTGCTTTGCTTAAATTCTTTCCTGCAATGGAAGAGGAGAGTCGTGCTAGTCCATGTGTGGCTGCAAGAAATCCGAGGGCATCTGAGGAAGGGAGCTCCGGATTTAATAAAGTTTGTTTCTGGGAAAAGGCACCGCCACACTCCTCCTCATTTCTTGCAGTGCCTTCTTAGGCTTCAGCTTTCCCGCAGAAGGACAAAAGGTGTCTCTCCTTTATGGCGGGCTTTGCATCAGGGCCAGGATGCCAGAAGGGGGGGGGGGGGGGAAACAGAGGCTCTAATACTGGAGGGCCCCCCCCCCCCCCCCCAAGGGGCCGGGGGCGCCCGAGTCTCTACTACTGTAGGGCCCCCCCCCCCCCCCCCAAGGGGCCGGGGGCGCCCGAGTCTCTACTACTGTAGGGCCCCCCCCCCCCCATTCCAGGAAAAAAGGCGAGATCTCCCTCAGATTGAACTCAACTCCCGTGACTTCAAGGACTTACCCATGTTGCTTTTTAGTAACAACAGAGAAGTGATTTTCTGTTGCCATCTTGTGGGATGTTTTTGTGAGTTTCTAGCTTCGCCTTCAGCCTCTGAGATTTCCTGGTGGTCTCCCAGCCAAGGACTAAACAGTCCCTTCCCTGCTTCTTTTGTTTCAAAATCTGCCAAGATTGGCTCAGTGCTGCTGTGAACATCTTGTGACTTTATGGACACCACCATGGGATATTCTTTGAGAATAGGACAAAAGAGAGAAAATACATTTTGTACTCTCCTGCTTTTCAAATCGTATTGTATAGTGTCCTTTCAGGGTTTTTAAAATGTTCTGACTGAATATCTAGTTGATATTTTTCTAACAAATAATCCTAGCCTATTGTAGGGGTTTTCAAACTTTTTCAGGCAGCAGAAGCTTTTAGTTAAAAAAATAAAAACCCTTGAATTTTACCATTCTTTGAGAGGTTAAAATTTAACAAAGAAGTCAGTGTTGAAGGACTGGAATGTGATTGATTTTCCTTGGATAAAAGTTGTAAGTGGAATCATCTTCTCTATTGCCCAATTTTATACTTCCTTTTAGTTGCTGCATGTCAAGAGCAGGTTCTCTCAAAGGTATTTCAGTGCTCGATGGCAATTCCAGATATTCTTTTAAAACTTCTGTCTAATCCCCTTGATGGACATTCTCTGCAAACG